ACTCCTATAAACTTAAGTGGTTAGAAACACTTGTCCACCAACTGTTTTATCCATTAGATTTGCTTTAAGATTTGTGTAAAATATGAAGGATATCTCTGAGAAGTATCTCTATTCACTTAAGTTTATAGAAGCTCTCTCTCTCTCTCTCTCTCTCTATATATATATATATAGATAGATAGATAGATAGAGAGAGAGAGAGAGAGAGAGAGAGAGAGAGAGAGAGAGAGTATTCTGAAATGAAGTTGTTTACCTAAACTTGTATACACAATAGTTGCATTATCAATGAATCATGAATGCTTGTTTGTTAATTCACAACTTTGTTGTATGAGATAAGACTTGGAGCTTTTCCTCATTTAATTTTACATTGAACCACTGCAGATTGGTATATTCTGTCTGCCAACTTCATCAGTTATTCCACTTCATGATCATCCCGGGATGACTGTTTTGAGCAAGATTCTGTATGGCTCCATGCATGTGAAAGCATATGATTGGACAGAACCATCCTTCATAGCAAGAAGCGGCAATTCAAAAAATAATCCTGGTGAAATCTTAGGCTTCCAATAGTATGACTAAATCATCAAGTTTCATTGTTCTGATAAAAATATGATTTATTTATTCGATTAACTGAAAGTTAATAACAGTTGAGTCTGCAAAGGGTGGATTCTTGAGCATGGTACAAGATGTGTCCTTTCTTTTCTTCACCTTTCCAGATTTCATTTTTCTCTTAACATAATGATGTCTCACCATCTCATAGTTGCTTCTTAAATGCATTTCATTTCCTTATACACACTTCATTAACATTATGCCTTAGGGAAATTGTTGTGGTTTCCTGTACTGTCAAAATATCACTTCAGTTTTCCTCTTATACCCTTAGTCTTCGAGAATTTTGGAAGCCACCTTAATTGCATGAATCAATAAGGCAGGTTTCTTTTTTCTATGCTTTTACCTTTTAGCGTTTGGGATTTCCACACCAATTCATTGAGCTGACCTCTATTCAATAGCTCGTCCTAGTGTTCCCATTTCACTTTTTAGCTGTCCCTATCTGAGAGGTAAAGATCAGAAATGAGGAGTGTACGAGTAAAGATGCTCACGCGTACACAATTGCGCACACACAGATGCACGATATGTGTCCTGCTCTTCTTTTTTAACATTATTGTTTTAGGAGTGGGTAGGAAGAAAGAAGTTTGAATGATTTGTCACCCTGGGCATTCCTATTCTATCTATACCAACCACGCTGGAACGGATAGACCAGTTAGCTACCTTAGTTTGCAACCTACCTCTATGGTACCACCTCTATCCACTAAACGTCTTCAACGCTCTTATTTTTGATATAGGTTTCCAATAAGGCAATCAGACTCAAAAATTATGAAAAAGACAGATAGATACGCAGCGACGAAAGAAGACTTCTTTGATTCTTGTTTATGGGAATCTCTTGAACGGAACACAAAGATGCAAGATACCTGGGAAGTGCAACATCTTTTATCTCTTCCACACACACACGTGATTGATATCCTTTTGTTCTTTTATCTTGAGTATTTTAGTAGTGACTAACAAGAAAAGGTTTATTGGAGAACAAAATGACCCTATTTTGTGACTGTTTAGACAATTTTTATATAACAACAATCCCTTTACCCCAACTTTTCAGGATGGCTACATTAATCTTAATTTTCCATCCAGTTCTATTAAGGCGATCTCTTCGTTAAATTAACTACTACCATAAAATAAAGAAGCAAATTCGAGGGGTGAATCAGTAAAAAAAATAAATATAAGTTTATAAAATCGAAGAAAAGTGTACTGGTGTACTGTAGGAAACAAGCATTTTCTAGTGTTTTCTTTTCTTTCATTGTTTTTGCCCGTGCTTATTTATATAGATTATCTTTAAAATACTCATGATCCTTTCTGTGAAAGTCTCGTGTTATCTCTATTTTTCCATTCATATATGGTATTAGGAAATATTGCCTCCCCTTTTACAGTGCGATTGGGAAAGCTACAAAAGGATACCGTCCTGACAGCCCCATGTCCAACCACAGTTCTGTACCCCAAAACAGGAGGCAATCTGCACTGCTTCACTGCAGTCACTTCTTGTGCCGTGCTCGATGTTCTCGCCCCACCATATTCTGAAGTTGCTGGTCGGAACTGTACTTACTATCATGATTATCCATACTCAAGCTTCTGTAAGTATTAACTTATTCCTGGAACTTTATTCGTCAAAGATCAAGTTATAGACGTCTGTCATGCTTATAGTCAATCTTATAGTAGTGTTAATTGCAGATACACACTCTGCAACATGAAGTTGTTTTCCCGTTATATTGAGATGTCATGTGAAACCCTCAATTTAGAGGGCAATATATTTTTTCTCTGTTAAACTGGGAGCAAAAAATAATTTCGTCTTTTGATTCCCATGTGATATCTTAGCCTAATGGGAATGCCATGTTACTTGGGGTTCTGGAGGCGGCATTTACAAGAGATTAAATTTCATAAAATAATTTAGATGGTATAAGTGGCTAAAGTCTCATAGCCTGTGGGTGTAACTGCAAATAACCTATCTAGAAAAAAAAAAGTGTCCCCAGTTGCTCAGCATGAGAATTACACCCTTTGTTTTTTATGGCAGCAACTGGAGAAGAACCTGTGCAACCTGATAAAGGAGAGGATCATGCGTGGCTTGAAGCCATTGAAGCCCCTGACCTCTACATGCGATCCGGTGCATATACTGGTCCAGCTGTACAGGTACATATCTCCGTCGCTTCATATTGGCTTTATTATTGACTTAACCAGTATTTCTCCAACTGCCAAACTTACATACTTTTTGTATTGAGTACCTAACTACAGGGAGAGTTGTGCTTTCCAGGATCGTGCACTATAATTTAGTTACGCAGCCTCTATAATGGATATTTGGGGGTGTCAGCTTCAATCTGTCCTCAACGAAGCAATACAGAAGAGAAGATTTTGTAGTCGGAGTATGTGCATCTCTAGTCAGTTGAAGCTGTGAGGACAAGAGGAAAATTTGGATGCCGTAATCAAGAAGCTGAAACTTTGAGGGACTCTTGATTTTCAGGCAGTTTTGCTTTGCTGTATACATTTGTTTAACTTGATCTTCATATTATGTTCCGTGTTACTGATTTTGCCAGGGGAACAAGCTTTTCATATGGAGGTTTTGATGTAAAATTTAGATCACAATTTACATATCTGTATCTGCCATCTCTGTATCAAATAATTATAGGGGAGTTTTTCTCAAGAATTGTTATAAGCAAAAGTTAGAAGTTTATGTGAGTTAATATATCGGACCGCCCCTAATATATCTCCAGAATACTTTATGGAAAAATGTTATACAGGGGAAATCTTATTATGAGGATGAGGTTCTTTTTCTCTAGAATTCAAATGAAGTATCACATTTCTGGAAAAATATAATAAAGACTGTTGATTGTTTCCTTACAAACACACAAGCTAGAGAGGTGCTTATTTTTCTGTTTTTTTTTTTGGGTGGGGGGTGGGGGGCATGAAATGGGACAAAACTTACTTTTGGTCAGATACATGGGTAAATGATTTCAGTTTAACATAGATTAGAACTAGTATGCACCCCGTGCAAAGCACGACCACTACTTTTTTTTAAACACTATATTTAATTTAATTATTGTATGCTTGAAATTAGAAACCATATCTGCTCCTTTATACTTAAAGAATGATCCATATTTTAATACATTTAATTTGGAAATTATATCTACTTCTCTATACTTAAGAAGTATCTAAGTTTTAATATATTTGATTTGCTTTACTGTTTATAATACAACAAAATACTGTAGCATAAATAGTACTTAGAGGAGCAGATTTGATTTACTGTTTTTGCTATAGTAAGTTACTGTAATATAAACAGTAACTTTGAGTGCAGATGGTGGAGTTGGTTTATTGTTTATGAAACAATATTTACTGTATAATAAACAATAACTTTTTGGATTCCCTTTTAAGTATAGAGTAGTAGATGATACAATGTGGATATCTATCTATAATAGTTGATGTGTTGCTACTTGTTTTGAGAAGGCAATGTTGAGATGTAATGGTAAACATATATAGTAGACAATGTTAGGCGTACCCCGTAGAGTTGGGAGTGCTCTCCTATAACTGTATCCAACCTTTTTTTTTGGTAGGAGATAGTGGCAGGAGCCTCATGTGTTGAGATTCCTTCTTTTTCTCAAAAATAAAAAATAAAAAATAAAAAATAAAAAATAAAAAAAATGTGAGTTAATATTTATACATGCGTTTATATGTGAATTTTCCCGGTGGCAGGAAAAAAAAGGTTTATGCATTGAAATGGTTTGAATTCAAAGGTTTGGATCCTTTAATAGATGTTTTCTTATCGATCATAATCAGATATTTATTCACAGTAATATTAACAATAACGTTTATAAAATTCGCTTAGATCGAACAAAGAGGAAAATCATAAAGAAATATCATTATTCAATACACTGCAATACCATATAATTTTCTCTACTTTGCACTTATATACCTTCTCCTGTTTTTCGCATCACTTAAATATATATACACACTCATATGGAAAAGTATTCATAAGATGACACCTTAAATTCAATTTATGGTTGGGCCTTCAAAACTATGTTAGGCAGCAGGGCCGGCCCTAGCTTAAGACAGTTAAGGCCTCTGCCTTGGGCATCACCTTGGTTAAGAGCAAGTGCATCAAGCTCCCAGTTGGGAGTCCTAGTCAGCAAGCTCTCAAGAGCTCTCAAGCATTTTAGAATTAAAAATTAAAAAACAAGCATTTGGAGGCCCTCCTTCTTTATGGAGCTCCAACAAGCTCCTAGTTAGGAGCTCCAACAATATAAAAAAAACTCCTCTTCTATTTTAATATTTTGCCCATTACTTTCAATTATATTTAAATCTCTTGTATTTCATTTCTAAACCGTTGGATACGGCATTCGAGGGAGCGCACACGGTCTTCGAGGTAACCCACGGTTTTTGAGGGAACACACACGGTCTTTGAGGTAACCCGCGATCTTCGAGGTTGGGCACGAAGTTTAAGGTATCGCAAACTTTGACCGTCAACCGACTGATTCCTATAAAATTCGATGGCTTCTCTCCTCAACTCATCATCTCCTAGAACAAAATGTCTAGCTCATCTAGCTCTAGCGATGATGAAATGATGAAGACGTTCTTTCTTATGGGAGCTGCTATAGTTGAGGAAGAAGAACAAGAGAAATGTTCAACTTCAGTTCAACACAAAAGACGTATCGTGCTCCATCGAAACCGACTGGAAGGCCACAATCGGTTGTTCCAAGATTATTTTGTTGACGCACCAACCTATCCTCTTCATTATTTTCGTCAAAGATTCAGAATGACGCGTTCATTATTCATTCGAATCCACGACGCGATCGTCGAACATGACAAGTACTTCGTCCAAAAGAGGAATGGTGCTGGACAGTTAGGACTATCTAGTCTTTAAAAGATTACTACAGCTATGCGGATGCTCGCATATGGAGCATCCGCTAACTCCGTTGACGACTACGTTTGGATCGGTAAAAGTACGTCGCTTGAGAGTGTGAAGAGGTTCGTTCGATCGATTATCAACATCTTTGGAGAGGAATACCTTCGTTCACCGACTAATGAAGATGTTGCACGCCTGCTCGAGGAAGGTTCACAACGAGGTTTTCCTGGTATGCTTGGGAGCATCGACTGCATGCACTGGACATGGAAGAACTGTCCAACTGCCTGGCAAGGTATGTATACTGGACATTATCATGAACCTACAATTATTTTGGAGGCCGTAGTTAGCAAAGATCTTTGGATATAGCATGCCTTCTTAAGACTGCCAGGGTCTCACAATGACCTTAATGTTCTAGATCATTCACCGGTTTTCGCACAACTTGCGGAGGGAAGAGCTTCACCATGCAACTATACTGTTAATGGCCACGAGTATAATATGGGATACTATCTCGCCGATGGGATTTACCCAGAGTGGTCCATATTAGTGAAGACTATTCCAGCACCTCCAGGAAACAAGCATAAGTACTTTTCTCAACAACAAGAAAGCGCAAGAAAAGATGTTGAGCGAGCTTTTGGCGTGTTACAAACTCGATTTGCTATTGTTCATGGACCAGGACGTTTTTGGCAACCTTGTGTGCTCAAAGACATCATGACAGCTTGCATCATAATGCATAACATGACCGTTGAAGATGAACGAGATTGTCAATTGGACAACAACTTCGACTTTACTGATTCAGTACCAGTCGTTGAACCTTCTCATGTGCAGACGGTGCCTCTAACTGAGTTCATCCAAAATCATCATCGGATCAGGAACACGCAAACACACAAATCACTAAAAAATGATTTGATCGAGCATCTGTGGCAGCTCAAGGGATCCATCGCCGAGGATTAAGTTTCTTTATGTCTAATGTAATTTCAAAAAGGAGTTTAAGTTGTTGTACTACACCAATTTCATTTTCAATAAAGTAGTTGTTTTCATTCAATGCCAAATTTTTTAACTTCAAGTACAATCATAAATCTAATACAAGATAATATTTGATAATTAGGGAGAACTAATGAGGATGCGATGCGAGTACAATATATGATAATTATGAAGAACCCTTAGACATCCACCTCTCCAATATCTCTGCCTGACGCATTTCAAAGTATTGTCGTTGAACTGAATTGAGTGTTAAGAGATCCATCTTCATGATATCATCATCTTGTTTCTTCTATTTTAGCTCTATTTTTTGATTGGTGGTTTGCTTCATCCACGTGAAAGCCTCTCCCGTGATGGACGTAGCGGACTCAGAGTTTTCCACATTTTGTTTCCTCTTGAGCTTTGCCGCTTTCCTCCCTTCAGGCCTTACTAACACATCATCCGAGTCAGTGTTCAACTCGATGGGGGTCGCTGGCATGGAATTGTTTGGTGAGGAATCAGAGTTTGTGGTTCTTCTCAGTTGTGATCGAATCTTATTGCAAGTTTCCATTTGTTGGATCCACTTTTGATGATGACGCAACTCAACCCAGCAATGGTCTAACACGAATGGTTTACCATAAAGAGATTGGTATAATTCTTTTACTTCTGCAATCTACACAAGAGTTAAATTTAGAATAATCAAACATAATTAAACATAATTAAACATAGTTAAATTTAGAATATTTACCTGGTCAATAATTCTCGTACCAGATCTTTGTCTTCCTTCAATCTGAGCAACGCACCCGCAGAACTTGTTGACGGACAGTTGAATCGTTGACCAACGATGCATCATTTGGTTTGGTGTGCGGCTCGTTGGATTGATGGAGTATTGGATAAAGTAGTCGTTAGCTCTGTGCTAAAACTTATCTTTGTGTTGCCCCATACCTTGGATGGCGTCTTGGCTCGTGTTTAGCCAAGCAGACACAAGAAGCTTATCCTCGTGGACAGTCAAATTTTCAGACCGTGTGTAAGCATTCTTCTTCTTTGTGGTCGATGTTTCTTGGGATGACATTTATTGTGTTGCTGATTGCGAGAACTCGATGGGGTTAGCTTCTTCTACGACTTCTGTATAGAACGACGATCGCCCTAATTGAGGTAAGCGATCCTTGATCTTGATTTGGTTATATGCGATTTCTCTAGGGTCTGCCTAATTTCTAGGGTTTCGTTGATTTTGGGATCTTTTGTGATTCTTAGGGTTTTCTTTTTGGATAGGAGAATGGTGAGAGGATGACTGACTCAGGCTGAGGGGTACGGTGTCTGTGCAATTTTCTTGGAGAGGATCTTGATTCACAAGGCTGCCCTTGTGAAAGGTTGCGAGCACGCTTAGTGGTTTGTTTTACGACTTCCTTCATTTATTTTGCGTTGTTTTTTTGATCTGTTTTAGTAAAGATTGAATCTGTGTGTTTATTGTGTATTCACAGATGTTAGGGTTGGTTATGCGTTCTTGTTTTGGGGTGAGGAAAGACGTATTGATAATTTGGAGGTGATTTGAGTGTTGGGTTTAGCTGGGTGGTCTATATTTTCATAATGGATTGTTGCAATGGGTTCTTGGAAGTAATATTAATGCACGTATGGGTCGTTGGTTTTATGGTGTTTAGTATTGTTTGGAAAATGTAAATTACACAGTGTCTAGTTATGATGCGGAGAAAAGGACGTTGATTAACTTGAAGGTTTGAGGTTTAGGTAGTTTAGGGTCTAGATTATGATCATGTGTTCATGCAAATGTGTTTTTGAAAGTAGAATGTACAGTTTAGTTTATTTGATCATATTTAGTTGTTTCTATTCAAATTTATAACCTTAATTGTTTTAATTTGAAGACCCGAAGAT